CAGGTATACTTAAGCGGTAGCATCAAATGAGAAAAATTCGAAATTATGCAGGTTGGGTTTCCCAGGTGTTGAGCAAATTCATTCCAGGTAAACAAATGAACACATGTCTTTCATTGCTTGCCCATCGACAAAAAAAGAATTTTTTAAAAAAATTGTGGCAGGTGGTGAAAAAAGTTGTATGAGAAATTAGAACGCAATGGGTAGTCTGCGAATTCAAGAAAACCCAGCATCAGATGCCAAAACATGACGACCAATAGAAGGTTTTCCTGTGTGTCTGGTAGCACATAAAGGTGTAATTTATCGCCAACCTTTTGAAAGCTCGTCAGCCGGTGACTACAAAACCATACAGCCAATAATTATAAAAACTACATCAAGTGAGGTGACAAGTCCTACTGGAGCTGCATGACAACGCCCGATTTCAAGCTACTCAAAAAATAGTCTTCAACTGGGCATGGTATATTCTCCTAACGCGGCATTTTTATAGACTTGGCTTCATCTAACTTTCATTTGTTCCGGTCAGCGGTACGTATCATTGGGCAAACGGTTCAAAACGCTGGGTCATGTGAATAAATTCATTAATAAATATATATCCTCGAAGCGTAGAATTTTCTGTGGCAAGAACATTCGAGAAGTACCTAAAAATTGGCTCAAGATCAGAGATATGGGTAAAAAAGTTAATCAATTAGTTTTCACATAAATAATAAATTGTCTAAAAAACCTAGACAAAAATTTTACGCCTTCCGAAGGATTATATTACTAGAGTGAAAGTCAAGTAATATATACAAAAATTGATTTTAATCAACGAGGTAGTAATTAGGAATGCTAGACCAGGTACAAGATACGCCTAAGATTTGCTTCTATAAATGATTAATAACAAAATACGAATAGGTTCGCACTATAAGCAACAAAGGGTGATTGCTCGGAAGAAAAGAACTTCCGTAATTAGTGTGAAATCTATGCAATCAAGTTGTTGACGCAATCGAGATAACGAAATTCACTAGTTTCACTTTTTTATAACTTGTAAGTTCAAATATCATTAATGAAGCTAAGGAGGAATATTAATCACTGTGCTAACAGGGGTTGCACTGTAACAGGAACAGAAAACCGAAAAAAATAACTGATGTTCTAAGGTACAGGAGCAACCTATCTGTCAGCTTTTAAAAACTTGAACAGTTATAAACGCCGTCAAAAACATTTTAATTCGGTTGAATATTTGGATAAGAAATCTAGAGATCACACTGGTCTATCCCATTAAAAAACTTTTTTATTTGTACACGCAAAAATGTTGTAGTGCTGATACCTAAAAAATGTTTTATTCAAAATAACCTTTTTTAAAAATAGTGTTTGAGTGCACTGTATTTCTTCTGCGCTTAAGGAATACCTAGTGCGGAGGTCGGCTCTGGGTTTGGGTTATTCCTATCGAAGGGTAAAATTCTGTGTGATCCTCTTCCTTTTTTCCTGTAAAATTTTCATATGTATTACGTGCAGGGTGTTTTACTAAAAAATTCGTTACACTTAAGGACAGACATTTTCTTTTTTCGCTTTTTAACCACTCTTTGAAATTTTCAATTTGTATTTGTCCTTCGCATACCAGACCAGCTTTTAGGTAGATATCACTAATTACTGCCTCTTTACATCTTTAAAGTTTTGCTTTAATGTGAACTGTATAGGAATTTCTCTTATTTGAGTTGACTCATATTTTACTGTCTCGGGAACACGGTCAATTTCCGATTTTTTGTTCTACTTGTGTTCCACTTTTCCGACTAAAAAGTTTTTAAATAAGTTCGTACGAGAAGTTAGCCTAATTGTCGAATAGTTGTTGAATTCGTCGAAATTTACGAGAATAGATAATATATTGGCTTATTCTTGTGCAATTTCTAATCGATTCGTGGAGACTTGATTACTGTTCACTCATAATGTGCATTGTTTGCTTTCTTGTTGTTTTGTTATCGTAAATTAATTTCTGCTAAAATTTTGGTATTAAGTAGGATCTTTACGTTTTTCAGGTTGTTTGGTAATTTAGATAATCCTCGACCTGGGATGAAGCTTGCCACTTCTACTGTAGATATTCCCTCCGCCTCTACACCTAATCCCAACCAAACTGAAGCTCCTTCCTGTTTAAAAAAGCTTGTGCGTACCGTCATTCGCAGTTTCTATTCGAGGGAACACTCCCTCATAATGGACTTATTGGTTAGTAAATTATTTTGCCTCCCATCTGTCTCATTAATTTATCATTTTTGAAAATTATTCTTGATATAGTTTACTGTTTATATTTCTTGTTTTAAGTCTGACTTTTCAATTCTTGGGCACTTTACAAGCCCATTATCAACAATATTCATGTGTATTCTTTGACGAATACAATTGGCTCAAATTTGTTGAGATCTACAACACGTTGTCAGTATTTGAGCTTTCTTCAGCGATGGAAGAAACATATGCCGTATGTCCGCAACATTTCTACATCCTACTGATGAGCGCACTTGTTTTTTTTAAGAATTTTTGATTTATTTTGGTACTGTTATCGCTTTCAGGTGAGAAATACAATAATGAAGGAGGATGACCTTTGTGAACGACTGCGTTTCGAAAAAAAGCAGCTCCGTCAGCACCTCCACACCCTCAAGACAGATCAATTTATCAAGTCCAAGTTGCAATTGGAAACTGATGCAGAGGGCAAAATAGCGAAAATCATCCACTACTTCATCGACTACAAGCTGTTCGTGAATATCGTCAAGTACCGCTTGGACCAAATGCAGCGAAAGCTGGACGACGAGCAACTAAAGACATCCATTAGAACACGCTTTCGTTGTCTGTCCTGCAAAAACTCTTATACCGATCTTGAGGTAGATCGACTATTCGATCCGACAGCCGGAAAGTTGGTCTGTGTCTACTGTCGAGCTGACGTTAAAGAGGAAGAGGACAATGACCAGCGATCAGACGCGCGAGCTCTCGTTGCCAACTTTCAGCAACAGGTAATTTATTAATACTCCTAAGCACTGCAGCTCCTTTTGTGATTTTCGCAGAACTTTTACATGTAGTATTTGCGTTTTGTCTCGAAGACCCTTCACTCATGTTTACTGCCGTTACCAAGCCACTACCCATAGATCTCAAACCAGTGAACCGCTATTATTTTGCTTAGTGAATAGACAATAACTCATTCTGCTTCAAATTGATAGGCGTGAAATTTTGAATGTATATGCTCTTAGACCCAATCAAATTTTTGCTAGGGAATTGGTCTGTGCTGAATTACATGACTTCGAATTTCGCCAACAGTTGGCATTCGGTTTCAGGAATTCCGCCAACTAGGTCTACGTGCATTTAATGACATCAAATGTGTGTCATTTACCGATTGTCCACTGTGCCTTTGTACGTTACTTTGTAGGTGCGTTTGCCGCTGGATGCGTTGTTGAAAGAATGCGATCAAGTTCACCTGACATCTTCCATACTGGAACCGGAGTTCCGTGCCTTGGAACCGCTTCCTGGCGTGAGTTTTTGTCTCTATCTCTCTGTGCGCTGACAGTTGCTAGTGATTGCGCGTTGCTGGACGTGTAAATAATCTTAAAGCGCACCACCAAGTCTCAGCAACTCCGCGTAGTTTTCTTATTAGTCCGTCCGTGTACCCTGTCTGGCTGTGTGATAAGCCCCACGAGAGTTGAATACTCCACTCTGATATGTAGTACCTTCACCTTTATTTTGGTGCCGCATAGATTGTTATTGGTTGAATCCATGTTAACTGTTTGTTCCAGCCTGCCGCCGGGAACTTCCTAGAATGTATCTAAGGCCCCAACATGCTTTGTCTTGGCCCGATTACTGCACACTGATACACAGTGATCAATGGGGTATGTTGAAGATACAGCCGTTTATTAGATAGCCCAATAAAGTTGTGTTGTTGCCGTGCGTATTCACGACAAATGAAGTTGTATATCAAGTGACTGTATGACCAGATTTGTTGGACGAGTAACAGAGGCGTATGAGCAGGCGGTTCTGTGTGACTGGGGAGCACGCTGTGAAATGTGGGCAGTGTCGATGGACGTGAATCAACATAACTCACTACAAATGCTTCGCCGGTGCTTTTGCTGAGTCTCCTACATAAGCGAAGTGTCGACATTTCTTATATCCGACAAAACCGTGAAACACAGACTTCTCCTGATCCCTGTGCATGAAGATGTGAGCGTGATGCAGGCGCTTTGTCATCTCCTTTCCTCTCTCACACATTTCTCCTCCTCTTCCACAGGCTGCGTCTGACGTGAATGCGTCGACGACCGGCGTCAGGGGCCCCCTTGGGCAGGATTCGTGGCTCAACGACCCCAACAAAGGAGCTGTGGGTGGTGCGGCGGGCTCAGTGGAGAGCACTGTGATAATTGTGTTGGACGGTAATGCAAGTACCAACACCACCGTCCGAAAGGAGCGACCCATCTGGATGTCCGAGAGCACTGTCAGCTCTGGTAAGCTCTCTCACTGCTCATGTGTGGATAAATCCTGCTTTTCCTTGTCATCTGCTTTTACGCAGGTTCCATTCCCTTTACGTGTCGATTTGCAGTTTGTGGTAGGGCAGTAGCAGCTCTGCAGTCGGTACTGCTAGTCGGGACTAAACTTGTTTTTTGTCAGGCCTGGGTGAACTGGATCGCGGTGCAGCCACGGGTAACGCGTCCGGCGGCTCGGCTAAGCTGGATCCAACCACGCAGACCTTGGCTCCAGGCCGTGTGCCCACGAGTCTGCACGACACCTCCAATTCCACGGACGGCCCACAAACTTCCAACCAGCAGAACTCCAGTTCGTCCGCCAACAACGCCAATGTGACCTCGGCGTCCGACATCATGCAGCTGCTGCGAGTTCACGAACGACGCGGCCTTGGAAGCCATGGACCCAAGTCCGCCTTGAGTGCGTTGTTTCCGTTTGCATCACTGGATATTCCAACCAATCGGGTGTAATGTCAAACTCGTTATCTGTACTTGGATAGCAGCAACGGTTATGTGCCTAATGCTGTTGTACAATTCTCAACCATAGTGAATCATTTTTTTGTTTAGTCGAGCCAACGCAAGTTCATCTCTTATTCTGGCGCTTCCAGGTAGTCGTGATTTCTTGGTGTGATTGCAATGTGGTGTTTATAATCCGTCACTGTACCACCGATTTAGCATTTACGCGTTAAGCCATCGTGTCGTCGCCAATCGGCAGAACAATGAATTCCTTTTTCATTATATTGTTCTCGTCTTTGTTTGGTGCGCATACCTTCTTGACATTGATGGCTCCTATTGTGTAATTTTGCGAACTAGCGATATAATGGAATCACGTGTTGCAAGCAAAAGCCTAGTGCTTTTACGTGCTTCCATTGTTTCAGATCGAACGCCCAACAACCCAGCTTCCAAGGCCTCTGCTTCATCCAACTTCAGAAACGGCCAAAACGGAATCTCATCGCCTGCTCAAAGTAGGTTTGTTGACACGACAACTCAGTGGAAGTTAAAACCGTTTGGTTGTTAATTCGCGACGTTGAGGTATGGTGGCGCCAAAGCTGTCTCATCTAACCAAGATCTGGCTACCAGGTCAAGGTAGGTCTGAGGCCACGTCTGAACCGATGGATTCTGCCGCATTCCTTCGCAGCACGATCATGTGAATGCCAATGACCTCGATTGGTAGACTCCTAACCGCGGTGATAAGACTGATTTAGCCAAACTAACAGTGGCAAAAACATGTTTGTCTGCTCAATTTTCTACCCAAAAGTGAGCTTGTGTAACCGAGACACACATTATGTAAATCTTGTAGATACTGCTCTAAACCATGAGGCCACTGCAACGCCACCAAGGTATGTTGTCAACCTCGGGGGTACCCCTACACCATACTTGGACATCACACCGGCTATGATTAAGAAGATGACTCCTTTGGAACGAGCGGAATACGTGCAAGTCGGGCAGAGGTTGTACAGTGAAACTGTTGTCGACTAGCTCCCTCCCTCCCTCTTTCCCTCCCAGTGCTGTGTCCCTCGCGTGTACATATCTTATACGAAACTCGAAGATAATACTCGTCTGTGATGATTGATGCGTGTTGCTGTCGATTTTTACAAAGTTATTGAATTAGGAAATTGGTTCGTTGTGGCAGGCATGCTAACAATCGATGCAGTTGAGTTGTCCCAAACTCTTGGTAATCCTAGTTGACAGATTCAAACGTGGTCATTGCTGGTAGGCCCGTCTTAGTTCGCAGGAGACTGTGGTATTTCAGAGTTGGGTTGTAAACGATGGCGCAGAAGCCAGGTTTTTCAAGCTGGTGACGGCGCCGTGGTCGGGACAAGTGATCTGAAGGGTTGGATTTGACGTTGGCCTAATGGCCAAAACGATTCTTACCATGTAAAGTTGCTACAAAACACCAACAACTATGTCCCTGGTGGTAAATTGACAGCGCAAAACCATTCATTATAGGTAGTAAAATGAAGTTGGAATGACAGTCCATGCCCCCCTTCTTGGCTTCATTCACAGTTAATGGAATTACAGACTTCCGGTGACGTAGGCGAATCGTCGAGGAGAGAACATGTAAGCAAAATCGAGACCTACGACGAGCAACTACCATTGTGACCAGAACTCCACGTTTGTAACTCTCTCCCCAATGCCACTTCCCGAACCAAACCTGCATTACTAAGAGCCATGTGAATACCCCGATACAACAATTTTACGACTTCGATTGTCTGATCCTAAGGCGGTGATTTCGAACAAAAGCAGGCCGCGAGACCATTCGCCGGCCAAAGCGGTACTACGCTGCTTATCAACTGGACCTGATACGTGAGCACAGCTGTGCCCAATGTTCTTACCAGACCCCCTGCGTACACACCCCAGTACCCATGAACTCAAAAACGCCATAACTTCAACTGTACACGACCAAACACAATTAAGAGAAACCATTTTGGGCAACCCGCCAGACAGTCGGACCGCCACCGTCCCCCAACTAAGACAGGAACTCCGGCCTACGATCGATCCCGATGCGATCATTCAGCATAACCCAGTCTCAAGTCAGAAACAAAAACGAATCACAAGTACACAAGCGTTAAAACAATTTAGACTGTACAAAAGATTGTATACATATACGAAATATTAATCGACGTAGTAAGGAAAAAGGAGCCGGAACGGAAGAATACAGAGCGACAGCCAAACACCCACATTACAAGAAGTCCTTCCTGGGGATGTAGGAGCGGTTAGCACCACTTCGAGAAATAAATTTGACTGGCGGCATTTTGGCGCTCCCGGAGTCCCCAGGGCTAACTGAGGCGCCTTCACTGCCTGCAACGGTCGTGGAGCGCCTTCGTTGGTGGTAATGCTGATTGTGTCGATCAAGTAAGTCAATATCTTCGTCATCATCCTCATCTTCGAATGGTCCGCCTCCAGCATCGGCATCGGGTCCATATGTGCCAACTCTGCTGGAATCGCCATCGTCTTGGAAGTCATCATCTTCGTCATCTTCAACCATATCCTCATCGTCATGACGACCACGAGGACGGTGATGTAGCTGGTGACTGACGGAGCTCAAAGGGTTACGAGTCGAGCCGATTGTCATATCGTCGGGGAGGCCAGAACCCGATGGCACGAGCGCTGCGCTTCCAGTTCGCACCTGAGCCTATCAAGAAGCAATTATTATATAAGCACAGATATACAGAAAGGAAATTTAGGATGCAAATATGGCAATCCTCAACGCCGAAAGACTGCATGAATAGGATTTAATATGAGCCTCATTAATAACGCATCGCAAAACGGCAATTGACGCGCGTTATCAAAAATGACTGAACAACGAGTAAATAATAAAACAAGATTTCTGCTTGATTCGACATTTGCCTGATTAGACACCATGGAAATTAACTGGAGTACGGAAGGATGCGAACAAATAAATACGAAACAGTACTATACCTTGCTCGTGGCTTCAACAACGCGATCAAGTGTCCGTCCAAATTCTTCCAGGATGATTCTTTCCTGCGACGCTGGCGGAAGATCGCGCCGTTCAGCATCTTCTGCCTGAGCTAAGAGGCAGCTGGCAGCGGCTTCAATCGTTTCCCAAGTGAAGAAAACGTGTGGGAGTCTACAAAAAAACAATGTATTAGCACTCGCGTCGATTCACAAGTAGATATTAAATTGAATTATAGACTCACTTTTCAGCGGGCGGTTTTATCAAATGTTTCTTAAAGGCATTGGGCTGGCGGGATCTAAGAGAACCCATGGCGGCGAGACGCATTAGTGACCGCCGCTCGATACTGTCCTCCGTATTTCGACACCCGAGGCAACGACAGAGATCCGAACAGCTGATTTTTGCCTCATAGCACTCACAATAATTCTTAAGGCATCCACTACGCTTACAATTGCAGCCCTTAGTGTGCTTCCGTTCGCCTTCACCGCGTCCGATCTTGGGGTGAAAAGCGGTCGGATTTCGCTCCAGCGTCATCTTGATCGCTCGTCCACGTTCCTCCTCGTACGCGAGATTGTTCATACAGTTGTTGCAGTTGCAATTTTGACAGAGTTGGCCTTGCGCGAAGCACTCGCAGTAAAGCTTGAGGCAGTGTGATTTGGTGCAGTTGCAGGGCTTTCTGGAATTGGCCATGCTGTTCACTGCCGGGGGAGCATTAGGACCAGGGGGAGCCGCCATGCCAACACCGGGAGCTCCGATGAGAGTCTGAGCTAGACCAGGCATGCCAGGCACGTTCGCTTGTCCAATGCTCACCACCTGACCGAAAGCCTGTGTTGATATCGGGCTGGCCATAAATGCACCGCTGGGGCCAACAACTAAAAGCAGGAGAAAAATCCTAATTCGGGAACTCACACCTCTAGGCTGCACGTACAACGATTATGGTACTTGACGTACGAGTCATTTCCTGTGGTTTTCTGGCGTATTGAGCAGCGGTATTCGTGTTAATTTGCACTGCCTGAGAGGTTAGGAGCGGCTGGACAGAAACCGCGGTAAATTGCTGCCCCTTTTGTTGAAAGACCGTCGGACCATTCGGACCCGGCCTTGTGTGAAGCACTTGAACGACATTTGACGGGAAGCCCTGCTTCTGCGATAGGGCAAGCTTAACGCCAACTGGTTGCTGAATCATGTTCCTAAAACGTACAACAGGGGCATTCCTAATACAAGATTCCTGTTTCGACCAGATTAGGAACCCCATTAAACTTAATTTGAGGCTAAGATTAGTGTCCGGCGAAAGAGCATTACAAAATACTGCACAGGTAAGGAAACAGGGTAATGCAACATTACAACAGCACGAGGGGGCTATGCACACCTACTATCTCCGCTTCATCCATAGAATGATATCGAAAAGAAACCATATACAAAACATTTGTGGTCTTCAAAAGCAGGTGTAAAATACGCCTAGATCTGCACAAGGCACAAAACGCCTAACAAAATTGAATTGAATTCGCGCCTATACTCACAATTCAAATCCGAAAACTTCACCACAAATTCAAAACCGAGAGTGGTCACCAAACTATGCACTTAAACAACTGTGGTCACTCAATAGAGTTGAAGACTAAAGCAATATAAAATTATTTGTACTTTCAAACTAAATCATTTAACTTACAAAAAAATATGTTTTAGAATAAAAAGAACATGATTTGTTTATATATTTGCACAGGTACTAAATTTACATTACCTCAGTCAATGTTTCACTGAAAGGAGTAATTCGACAGGGTTTACATAGGCAATGACGTAAAAAAATTTTTCTTTGAAAGTGATAATGTACCGAGAATGTAGGTGACGTCCATAGCCAAGTGTCGGTAGAGGTATTTGGACAATTGTAAAAGTTAACAATTTTACAATGCGAAGTAAAATAGTCGAGACTGTTATGTTGTTTCTGTACTGATTTTTTTCTTTTTTATGACTTAATAAAGAATTTACTGTCTAATTTTGTAAAATTTATTGAACACTAAAATCTTGACAAAATTGAAAATTCTTAAATTTTTTTTACTGCGAGATCAGATGCGGAAAACCTGACCACGTATACGCCAAGGGTGTTTCTGTTTAAAAATTTGTTTTTACGCATAGCAAGCAATGAAGTTTATTACTCAGCAAAAATAGATGGAAGCAATTAAAATTTCTATATGTTGTGGTAAGTTTTTCTGTCTCACGATTTCTGTTTTATAGACTTTAATGATGACTGACATCGGCCAAATAGAAATCATTACACTTGAAAAGGGATGCAAGTTGACAAATGTGGTCTAATTGGAAAATATTGTTCCGTAAAAAATGCAGCATTAACACATATTGCAGATATCAAGCAGTCAAGAAACTTTTTTAACAAATTGAGAAACTCAAAATGGCCTGTAATTAATTGCATTGTCACGTGAGTACCAGTGTTTAAATAAAACGATTAAGGATACTCTACTTTTGACTGTTTCGAAGATGCAGGACACAGAGTGGAAATCTGCCAATGGACGTATTGGCATAGTGACATATTGAACGGGTGGCTTGGCTATAGTTAAAGAGATGATAGATTTAACTAAGGTCCTGTCTTCAAGAGACTTTAGCACAATCTAATCATAAAGAAAATTCATACATATGCAACATACAGTAGCAGTTCTGAAGTGGGACATTATTTTGAGCTCTGTAAACATCAGTGTCATCAGTTTCCAGATTTCTTATATCTTATTTAAAAATAAGCCAGCTAGTGCCTTCAAAAGTACAAGCGGCACATAGTCTTTAACACTGTTGAAATTCTGTTGAGTTTGTCAGGTTTGAGCCGTATGGCCTAGGCAGTTTTTCGCGAACCCCTATTCAAGACCATGCATGGAATGATAAGTACGCTGGGCGCCCATACACCAAAGACACATTTTGCGATGTCACATTACGAGCTGTTCATATTCGTCAGAACCAAATAATGTTGGGATTACACTGAACAGAGATAGAAGTATTTGCCGTTGGCCAAAACCTGTTTCCACAACTACTTTGAAATTTAGTTAGCTCCTTGCGTCCTTGCAACGTAATAAGGGCCTTCGTTTACCAGAACTTGACTAATAATTAATTTTTGCTATTGACTTTAAACAATGCTGTAATACCATATTTTTATTATACGTCTCATTGAATAAGATGAAATGCTCTCCATATATCCTCTGAAGTTGAGCGGATTTTAGGATTTCCTTGGCGTTTATCGAGAGTTTGCGATTTAATTGCGAAAAGTAAATATTATTTTCTTCATTACAAAATAAGGTACTAATGGCAGTATAGTGAATAGTTGTTTGTTTGCGAAAGTTCTGTCCGTTCATGTAAGTTTTCCTTAGATGTGTAAAATTAATTACTTACAATAGTTTCCATGCAAATTATTAATGACTTATTTTGGCATAAGTAATTGTCAGCTTTATCAAATGACCAAAAAATCATGCTTTAGGCTTGTGAATTTCGTTACTGAGTCGAAATTTTTTTTCAACAGGCTATGACGCTATTTTGGCCAATCCAATTGTACTGTTTAACTTTGCGCCCTATTCAATATCTCAGTGTTGTGTTCTCTAATTCATTTTCTCTCTTCCATGTTTTTTAACAACTAAAATTTTCTTTCACTGGCGTTCTTTTAATGTATATACTCAAATGCCTGTAAAACAACAAAAACTTTGGTTTATTTACTTCCGCATCAATGTTAACTGTGTTGCTAATTGAATTTTTACAAAGAAATGTCCTTGATTTTGCACTATCACTCAAACGCTGGTGCTATTCCTATTTACACCCGAATCTGATCAAAGATAACACTAAATATAGTACTTTCAATACTATTAATCTGCATACCTTCTCATTTGGTGTTCTTCGGTCTCGCGATAATTTCATTGGGCTGTTTGTTTCCTATTCACGAGGTGAGCCCTGGAATTATAGGTTTTAAAACATTTTCGGTTGTGTCCCCTTTCCCTCCTTTTTTTCATTACTTAGAGACGAAAAATATAGCTCATTTTTGCAGTATCAATGTCAGTAATTTGTCTTTGCTATGTGTATTTGTCGATTTTGCCAGCATAAATTGAGTGAATGGTTCTTAAAGCACCTAATGTGGGGCTGCCACTTTGACTCTTGCATACTCAACGCTGCATTTATTTTACTTTGCCCGTGATTTCGTACCGTGACATTTCCTGATTGTTGTGGGAATCTATTATGTAACAGACACAATTAATGAAGACTGTTATAAGCCGTGAATCTTAAACCTAGAAAACAGTTAAATCATCGAGATATTTCATTGAATGATAATATACTGCTTAAATAGGTACCATCATATGAGTCAGCATGTCGAATATTTGTTGACATTCACAAAACTGTTGTTGAATTGAAACTGATCTCTGCCAAGTGCGTAGCATGTTCTCTTTCTCACTAAATCGTTTCTGTTTCCCCTCTTTTGTCATATTTGACCACTTGCTTGATCGTTGTAATCAATTCTTAAATAATAATGGCCTTTTTTAAGGGCAATAGGGTTGATTGATTTGATTTTCATTTCAACTTGAGCGGAAATATTTAAACACCAAAGGGATGATCCCATTTGCGAGACCTTTGAAAGAGGGAGAATTTATAATTAAGGCCCTGTGCTTGGGAACATTATGATAGCGTTTCTTAGTCTTGTTGAGTTGCTGTTTTCCTTTTATTCTCTTGGCAACCCTATCGCTTCACTTTGGCCCGTGCGTGAATTTAGTTACTCATGTCGTCGTGATTTATATCCACAGCAGGATGCGAGTGTTGTTATGCAGAATTTGCCATTCATATTGTTGCTTAGTTTATCTGTTATTGCTGATCTGGTCTTATACTTTATCTGGTGACGAGATTTGCAGGGCCTCCTATATTCAATAATGTTCAGTGCCATACAATTGTACTTGAGTTTTCACAATCAATAGTAGCGACATTTATGCGTCTGTAACTGCCTCTTTTATTCTAACAGCGAATAAAGTTTGCGCAAATATGGTGAAGACGTTTCGTATTGATTTTACAGTACCTTTCCTATTTGGAGTTCGTCTTATCAGTCATTTCTTACCTCGACCTTAAGTAACCAATGACGGAAGTACATTAGTCTTTTTTCTCGCCGATAGCCTATGCCAGAGAACAGAGGTGTAGGTAAACAGATGATTAGATGAGTGGCACATATCCGTGGATTCATTTGCAACCCATGCTTATAAGAACATTGGGAATCAGTGCAAAGTAGACGCACATATCGGAATTAATGCTTGGTTGAGGGGTAGATGAACCCCCACTGAGGTTGCAAATGTTACTCCGCAAAGCATCGGCCTTGTATCGACCATCTGCTGTCAGGTTTTTGAAACAGTTTTGATTACTGTTTCTTCGGGGAGGAAGTCTATCGGAAAGTGGACAAAACATGACTCAGTCGCCTTCCAGTAACTTCTTTTACGGACGCCGCCACGTTTGTCCATTAACCTCAGATTAATCTAATATTGTCTTTTAAATCACGACCCAGTAGCGCCGTCTACTGGAGGAAAAAAAGGATGCTTTTGCCCGACTAGTTGCTGCAAAATGCCGAATCGATTGATTAACCCAGTTATTCTGGTGCATGACTTGAGGGCTTTGTTGTCGGCGGCTTGGCGCTAAGACTGATAAACTGCTTTTTTTTTCAACAGCCTCTACTCTAATGCACCCTTGTACCCCTTCCCACTCAAGTCCCAGTGCTTGGTCACAGTCTTTTGTCGTCTGATTGCAGGATTTTTATACTTCTTGGATAATAAGTTGTATTGCGCATCCGTTATTCGTGGCATTTGGGCTACATGGAGTAAAGTAGGTGGCGCGATTTCATTTGCTTCCTGCTCCATGGTTTTTTACAATTTGATGCCTCTCCTGTTAGGTGGGGTTGATGACGTGGCAGCCGATGCACTAGTGAGAACAGCAAACACCTCAAGATGTTGAATTTGCCATTTGAGAACAGATTTGGCCTTGAGACTGTTTAGCAGTGAATACACCTAGTCTTTTCATAGTTCAGTTAATTCGTTTTCGTCTTTGTTCATGCCAGTTCTATTAATTTCGATTTGGGCCAGAACGGCCAATTTTCCTACCACGTTTTTGGTTAACTTCTGTCGTGTTTACAATTCCTCAGCAGCACTAATAAGTAGTCTAAAGAGGAAGCGTTTGATTAAATGGAGATGTTCTAGTCATCGTTTTTGCGATGGAGGTTTTACTTAAAAAGGAAAAATTTAACTAAATATGTCACCTACTTGGTTACACCCATGTTTTTGTGCGACCAACAGTGAGTTCTACTCATTTGACAAGCTTTTTACGCTTCACGAAGGTAAACTGAGGTATTTTGGCGTAGTACTTTGTTTCGTACGTCGTGACCCTCTAAGAACATCGACGTTCCTCGGTTCTGATTGGTGTAACTTTCCACCAATAAGCTGCTTCCGATTGTTAGGCTCTAGTAGACTAGTAGTTTTAACCTCTCTTTATAGATGAGCCGCAACGCATCTGGCTTCAAGAAGGTAGTCGATGCAGAGCGTGTCAGCATCAACATAGCGGCCTCTGAAAGTCCCGAGAGCGAGCACTTCTGGCTGCCGCCGGTTTCGACAGTGGAGGACTCACCTGCACTTTCTAGCACCTCTCAGCCAATCGCTATCGCCGGCACCGCGTTGACCGAGTCCCCCTCCATTCTAGACCACACAATCGTGCGCTACGGCACACCAGACGAGTCCAATCTCGGTGTTGAGGATGATGCGCCACTGTGCAGTGTAGGTTTGTCTCAGCCGTGAATCGGTCGTCTGAGAACTGTCCTTCTTGCTGATGCATTCTGGCTGATATCCAGGACCGTCTTCAGTTATCAGGACAAAAAAATGACCACTTTGATAGACATAAGGACTGATTTTTTGAAAAAAAAATTGCTGCCCCGAGCAGCGTTTACTTCAGAGACACATGGAAGGTGACTTTGTAGCAGTTCAACTCGATACCAAAGCATTATTTGTTGCTTAAATAGCTTTTATTAACTTATACGCCAGGCACACCTTTCTCCTATCACTTCGAGCCAAACCACCGTGTTGTTTCTCCTTGTCCGCGAACTAGGTCGTGGAGAACTCAGTGAAGAAGTCTAAAACGCCCGGTTTTCGTTTGGCCTCGGGGAAGAAGTCAAAGCCGAAGAAGGAGTCGCAGGCGTCGTTGAGGCTGCCCCTCGCCGCCGCCTCAGCGGATCGACCCCCACCCCAGGCAGACGAGCCCATCTTTCCCGAGGCCGCGACTCGTCCACCGAAGGAGGCCAAGCACAAGGTGAAAGCGAAGAGCAAGGACAAGAAAGCTGGCGACGGCGCGGCTGCGCTGGAATTTCCGCTGAAAGTTGCCACAAAGCGAAAGAAGAAGCACAAGAAGAAGGTGGACGTTGTAGAAGGCACGACGGTTGAGCCAAGTGTCGATAAGGTAATCCTGTTTGACATGAAAGCTGCATTTTTTCGTCTAAATTCACGCTAATTAAACGATTTAAGTAGCATATCATTTTGTAGACGGTTATCGGGGTGACACTCAAAACAGCGCTGGAGCGAAATCCCAGCCACGACGGTGTTCCACTGCCTGCGTTCTTTCGTTACTTAGTTGATTTTGTTGAAAAGTATGGACTCGAAACAGAGGGCATATATCGTGTGAGTTGAACGATACGTCTTTGAACCCACTTAAGCTTGTTTTTTTTATATGCGCGTTACCTTTTTCATTTTGTTAGGTTCCGGGTGTAAATTCCCAAGTGAAGCAATTTCTGAACGTCTTGAATAGCGGAGTGGAATTTCCAGATATCCCGCCTACTTCACCGGCTTTTTCTCATTGCGAAAAATCACCTCCAAAGGATGTTCGTGGCCAGTGTAAGCCTCGTTTATTTGTCCGCGTTTTTTTTTGTAAAAATAGATTTTTTAGTGTAGTGCTTCTAACACGTAATTTTTTGGAAAAAAGCTCAAAATTTTGGCTTGGAAACTGCAAAATTTTCCTTCATGGTGTATTTTTGTGATATCGTAAATATCAAGAACTGATTGTGGATGAGTCTGATGCTCAGATCAGTGTGCTTTTTGTTATCAAAATACAAAACCGTGGATTTATTGGTTCGAATTCCGTCTGACCAATCACTGTACACCATGATATTCATCTTCGACCAATCACTGCCCAGCTTGTAATTATTTCCTAGCCAATCACTGTATAGCGTGATTTTCTTCTTTGACCAATCATCGCAAACCTTGTTGATCAACTGTCTTGACTTGGAATGTTTTCGACCTGACAGATTATGCGCGAATGCCACGAGTACTTTTTGTTCCAGAACAAAAAAATTTTAAAGAACATTGCCAAATGGAGACTATCTCACTTAGTCTAAACTGCCAGGTCCCTATCTCATATTTTCAAACTTGCAAACTCGCAACACTGAGACATTAAACTCGTAGGATTTTATTTTCATTGAATTTTTGTCTTTTTGTTTTTCACGTTCACCGACGCCTATCTGCAAAAGTCTGCATTTCGACTTGAATACACAAATTAACAATTTGTTAGTTGTCGTGGGTCAGGAGTTTTATTCACAATGTTTCATCTACGCTGCAGTTTATTGTGAATACTATATGAATCGTCAAAATATGCAGCTATTCATATCCTGAGAGCGAATGAGGTGCGCTACGCAATTTCTGCAGAAGACTAATCGATTCACTTAACCTTCCATGTGATCAAAATCCTCTTTTTGCATCTGGCAAATAGAAGTGATTTCCCCCTCTTGGGCAGCGTCCTCCTCTGACAATTCTTCCAAGAACCCAGATATAAGCATTGTCCTTACTTAGAGATTTCCTTTCACTCCAACAAAAAAAGACAATCCAACTACCCTTGAGCGCGATTCTCGTCTTCCTCCGCCTTTTCACGGCGAGGCGATGTCAGAGTGGACGTCGACAAGTCCCTCGCACTCCGTCTTCGGTTCGCCTCCTCCACACGACCCGGCCGTAGTGACGAGTGTGCTCAAGCACTTCCTACGAAGCCTTCCAGAACCAGTCCTCACTGTGGAGATGTCCGGTGCCATCGAGTCGATCTGCGATCAGCTGCCCGACGGTCCTAAGCGTCGACAACGCCTGGCCGAACTCGTTCACCGCCTCCCTCGCTCCAATCGATACCTCCTGGCTTGGCTTCTCCAACACATGACCCACGTCATCGATCGCGCCGAGGTCAATAAGATGACTCTCGCAAATTTAGTCATTGTCTTTTCCCCAACCCTTCGGATGTCGCATCGGCTGCTTGCCCTCCTTCTCTCTGAACCCAAAGACAGTGGTTAGTTGTTCGAGTCTCCGACTGATAGTCTCGTCAGTCAGTGCAATCGGTAACGGAGCCTCCTTTCCACTTTCTAGACTCTATTGAAATCGAAATCGCGGAATCTGATCTTGCAAGGCCATGCGGTGTTCAAGCCACTCGCAACCCGACACTGCCACATTGGCTGTTTCCTCATTCCGCGTTCGCCTATCGACCGTACAAACCCCCGATCCCTCCGCCACCGTCCACGGAAGCCTTCGACCTTCCAGACACGCTGTCTGAGCTTGAGGAGGAATTATTCAAGCAGGAGTCACTGCTGGCGTTCACACAGCATCAAATTGCCTCGGGAAAAGCCAGCTCAGAAAAGGACGCCTTTATTTGGGAGGTAATCAGTTCTCATATTTTCTTATCAACCGGCAAATCCTGCTTGGCTGTCTGTAGACTCCTTAGAACGAGTGCAATTATTTAAATTTGTGTGAGTCATAAGAAAACAGTGCCTAAATCTCCGTAGATTTAAAATCGTTGCGTGAACAAACAGCGTGCTTTCGTGAGCTTAGGTTATGGGATTGCGTATGGGATGAAAGCAACCGGTTGCTTTGACGATCCACTCGCGTTTCCGCTTAATTTTTGTGTTAATTAAAGGCGAAAACCGGCAATTTCTTGTTCTAAGAAAGCACGACCCAAAACACACTTGAATTCAGAGTTGCTTTGTCATTGGTCAGGCTACTACGTCTTGATCGATTTATGTTCCGATTGGCTGCAGTGAAGCTCATCAATGCGACTTAATCATAACGAGCCCGCCTTATCCTTTGTTTGGCCTTATGGAAACTAATTCCACACAAACGTGGTTCTAGTGAACCTTCATGTTTACTGTTCACCTTAGTAGTGCCGACTCACATTGCAAAACGTAACAATGTGGAACTAATCATCGTGTGTGTTTGGCTCTCTATAAGTAGACCTCTTGTACGCGCACAAAAGGATTTGTGTGTGTGTGTGTTCGCTTAGGTGCAGCACCTGGTTACCAAGATGAAGCGCAAGAAGGCCCTCCTGGAGCTGACGGATCCCGCGGCCATCCTCGCCGAACTCACCCGATACGAGGCCCGTCTGAGTAGAGTGCAGCAGGAGCTGAACAGCAGGCCACGGGGCAACGAGGCGTCTGACACCTCAAACACTGTCTCGCCGCGGACCGCGTCACCTGACAGGGGTGAGCCGTATCTATTATCGTGTGCACGTTTGTCTGAGTGTGTGTGTGTGTCCTTGTGTTTGGTTAGGTGCGTGTGTGACTAAGAATGTGTATTTGTGTCCGAGGATGCGCGTGTGTCCGAGTGTATGTGTGACTAAGCATGTGTATTTGAATGTGTGTGTGTGTGTGTGTACGTAAATCATTTGTATGAATAACTTTGATGTGCAGTTCATGATCTTTCTCAATCCGACGATCTGGATAAGGCTGTAGTGTCCTTTATTCCTCCTAACGTCAACATTGCGTGTTGCCGCTGTCCAATAATTAATTTGTTCGATCCCTGAAGCGGCTTTCTCGCACTCATGGCAGCCAGCTGTGGCAACACTCAATTGGCACGAAGGTTCAACTGTCTGGCTGTTGCGTCAGTGGTGTTGGTAAGCCACGATGACAAGCAAAGGATCCGAGGACAAAGAAGGTGATGGCACGATCTATCATTGTGTGTGTGTGTGTGGGTTCATGATCAACTTACGATTTTCTCCTTTCGATCAAGTTTCTGCGTCAGCTGACAGTCCACTACACTTCCACTGATTTCCCTCAAAGAATTGTGTTCAATCAAAAATGGAGCACGTTGCCTCAATTTGATGTTAGTTTCACATCAATAATTACCCTCAAACATGACAAGATCTACTGTGTCGTGGTGAAGTTTGTTCAGGAACTTCCAGACACGTGTCCTGCTATCACTCCCCATCAAAGTATCCTCTACACAAGCACCACAACGGGTTGCTCAACCACGTTTTTCTGGTGTATGCTAATTTAGCTGCCTATGGGGTGGTGGCTGTGTTGTATTTAGGTCTATGAGCTGCCCTATAAACACTTCACAAACCGCCCTTCACCCGCTTTTGTACGACTTGAATAAATAACATGAAGCTGCAAAATCAGTGGCATCTTGAAAAATACGCACTTAACCCTCATTAACCTGTTGCGGACTGATCCATTAAAGTTTTTTAGTTCCGTGGCTGTTCCCGCTTATTGTGGGTTGTGAGCTGTAAAGATTCCAGGGGAGTGGTGGTGATTAATGAATTAGGTCGATTCATTGCCTGGTGAAAACACCGAGTTGGTATCCGTGCCTACGCGAAAGGCTGTACGTTCACGGTCATCGGGCAAGTCGCGTCGAACATTAGCCGCGTCTTTGAGGTCGGCAGCGCCAGTTCAAGTAATTACTTATTTCGACTTAGGCAAATTGTGTGCGTTCTTTGTGACCTGTAGGAATTTTCGACATCAGAATTTGTTGTAGCTACAAGCGACACGATCACAACGCGTTCAAGCATCTCTGAGTGGCACTCGTGAGACGCTAGTTGGAGCGGTGTGTGTTGGTGTGTGAATGTGTGAAACTGAAATCTGCTGAAGCTAGTGGGTGTTAGTGGCGCAGGTCGCTAAGCACGTAGCTTGCTAACCTCGCCTGACTTCTCAAAATGCAGAAATTTGCTGTACCACGGTGTCTGTCTCCTTGACATGGCTGTGGGCCGAACAGCATTCAATTAGCCATTTTTTAAACTCTCCGATTATGCGCTTCACGACTGTTTCCTGTGCTTTCTAGCATCGAAGCCGACCAATCCACGCCTCCCCGTCTCGCAATTCGACTTGGTCTCTCCATCTCTCGCGTCAAAACGCTCCTCCGCCAACAAACGGGCATCTCCAACACTCGAACCCTGCTCCGCCAGAATCCTCGATGTCGGATTGTGGGAGCTGCAGCAGACGGTCGCAATGCTGAGACGTCGTCTGCAGAGTCATACGAAGAAACCGCCTTCGCCCACCCAACCGCCTCACCAACTGGTGCCTTCCGAGTCGCTGGACGTCGAGGAGGAGTTCAACTTCGCCCTGAGGTAACTGCACACACACAAACATACCTAGGTTGAGCCAACTGATTTGGTGTGCTGATTTTGCTGCAAGAGCACGCAGGGAACGTGAATCGAGGCAGTGCGTTTGACAATCCACATTAATTTCACACCTGCTCTAGTTCTCCAATATGTCGCATGGCTTCTAATGCATTTGTCGTATGACTCAGCACGTGTCTCTTTCACAAGTAATTTCTATAACGTCCCTTTTCCCAATTCGGCAAGTACCGTAACCATTCGGCTGCATTAATCAACTTGTGAAGCGTCTCCCCTTTCCGAATTCAGTGGCTTGCCGACAATGTGTCTATCCTGAGAAGCAATTTTGGGGCAAATAAGTGGACTAGCAAGGCGGTAATTCTGGTTTCCGCGGATAGGCGACATTGCCTGTTTCGTGGGACCTCAGACAATGTGCTGTTTTTTCGAGCCTTTTAACAAGTGATGAATGTTGATTTTGGCTTGCTTCAGAAGCTGACTACGTGTGGTTGTATTTACGGCTGTTAATTTACCGTTTGTGTTAACATGGAGTGAGACTGCGAAGAACCCAGACGAATCGTATTTCATGGCTTCCGTCAAACCTGGAAGACGTCTGAGGTCCTCAAAGAGTGTGTGTCGCGTTGATAGCGGAACAAAACGGAACGCGAATGAATCAATCGGTATTTTGGTCGACCTACTGAAGTTGATGCTGATGATGATGACCAATTCGAGGCCACATGTGAATCGGTCAGTGCTAGTGCAACTGTGCAAGAGTTTGCGCAGACCTCGTTGAGTGTTTCACACACAAACAACAACAGCAACAAGTGAAAATTACTTGGCGTGTCTTGAACGAGTTGTGAGGCAGCTCCATGTTTTGGGTTCCAAATGACTCGGCGGAAATTCACTTAACACAGCTACTCAGTCCTTGCAAAATGCATCGAAATTGTCGTGAAATCGTTGCTTTGCAGCCAGTTATCGCTGGCGATGCGCCATCGGTCCACCGTAACTGAACCACCTCGATCATGGTTTAATTTCGATGAACCAGCACGCGCCACATCACATTTATGTGACTTGCTTAAAAAGTAGTTATGATATCAGTTTGGTGGGATTTGCAGGATGTGGGGTGTTTTGAACTACTCTCAAGACACCAAGTAGTCAAAAACCAGTGAAATGTTTTGCTACAGGCAAGTAGTTACACTTAGATTTGGACACTTAGAAGGAAATCGTGTTCCCTTATGAGATATCTTACATTTGATGCATGTTTAGTAACTCACATTGTTTGCGAAAATTCTAAATACTTAATCAGATGACCTAACAATGCACTTCGTTCTGTTTTTGCTTTTAAATGTTAGAAATTGTACAGGCGTAGAATTACATAGATGCCAAAATGTCGGTGTACAAAACAGAATGCAATATCGCGTAAATGGGTAAGCATACGTTCAAATGAAATGGTACTTTCTCTTTTCTCGTCATAAATAGTCGGACTATTTCCATCACTTCACTTCAAACTCGTTTTCTTGTAGAGAACCGGTTGTCAAGCCGGACCTTCCTCTGCCGACTCAAGCTGCAGCCGATGTCGAAACCTTGTCGCCAGACCGGCGCACCGCGAGTACATCGGAGGCACCTACATTCCAACCAATCGCATCTCAGGATCTGCCAACAGTGGAGGCGGTGGAGGAGGCGGAGGAGGTTCCCGCACCTAAGGTGGAGAGCTTTCCAGTTGAATGGCCTGCAACTCCAGTGGCTTGCACCGAGGAAGTTGAAAAGGCCGAACCTGTCGAGGAAGGTGCGGTGGCAGCAAAGGAGAAAGAGGAAAGAGAAAGTAATGTGGAGGATCAGCGGACACAGGACCAGCTTCCACTGGATCCGGCCTCCCAGTATCTCCTGTCGGTCTACAACTACTGGGCGGTAAGGCAGCAGGAGTTGCTGGCGTGCCAACACGACCTCAAGTCGCGAATACGCTCGCAGCAGGCCGAAATCGCTCGAATTGAGGTGAGTTTTGAGCACTTGAGTCTTTTTGAACCCCTTCTTCTTCTCCTCCCCCCGAAGGCACGTACTTTTTAGCGTAGAGCAAATCGTGGTAGATATCGAAGGTCTCCAAAGTCGGACATGGCAGCTGTTTCTCCGATTTGTTTTAGTTCTTGAATTCTAGTGTGGGAACAATCGGCGGGGTCTTTAATCGATCGCACCAATTTCAAAGCAAAGTAAACGAAGAACTGCGCTTTTAAAGCCGCCCTCCCATCAAGCCTCAAACCTTTCCATATTTAGACTGTGAAGACTTTTCCTTGGAGGTGGCGATCAACAAGTTGCTGGAATAGGCATTCCGATAATCATCACATACGATGTCACGATTTCGTGAACGACGTCGCCAAACTAGCTAGGGCGTTGTGGCACCTATTTCCACTCAAACCAACTTCCAGTCGTTAGCTCGGTAGATGGTTTTCGTTGGTTCAAGAAATGTAGGAAAATGCCGCGTGTCTGCATTCTGATTGACCGGAAATTACGCTTTAAAAGGCTACAATTGTTTCTTGACAAGAAAAAACTACTTCAAATCGTCCGTTTGGCCCTCGTGTAAAGCCAACATGACAGCGCCAGCAGCGATAGTCATTCGAAAGTTGTAACAGCAACCCAGGCTGTGAATTTTTCTTGTTCAATTGTTCACCTACTGACTCCAAATCAGGGGGTTTAGTGTTTTGCAACCACACGACTGGAATCCGCGCTGGGCTGATGTTCAACGTGGACAGTGATGAGTGAGCGAGAGGTAGTTGGGACCCGATCGTCTTTTAGACCGCTGAATCCGTATCTTGGAAATGGAATGGAATACACAGATTCTGTCCAAAGTGATAAGAATCGTGTTGCCATGTGGGGATCCACATGTGTTAATACGACCGCGGTCCGTTCGAACTAAAGGTCATCGCTGTTAATCACCCATCTCTTCCTTGAGAAGGACTTTTTTGAATCATTGCGATGCCCTTCAAAGCACAGCGTGTGGAAGCTGTCGCCAACAAATAGCAACGCGAACACAAGCTCGCGCCAAGGGGAACAGATTGCTACGTTTGAAGCCAGAGTTGTGGTGGATAGAGGTGTGTTGTAAGTCTTCTCCAACTCCCCTTAGATGTGCATCAGTCAGATGGTGGCGTCGGGAGAGGTCAGGGAGAGGCAGGTGCGGCAGTACTTCCACGAGAACGAGCACCTCCTCGGCTCGACGCACACCTTCCAGCCGCATCATCATCGTCATTGTTCACTGACGGCAAGCTCACTCGCGACTTCCTCGGACGACGACGACGGCTGCGACGAGGATGATGATGATGATGACGACGATGATGACGGAGATGAGGGAGAGATGGCGGCCACCCTAATCCAGTTGATGCGCGACAACGCGCGTCTAGAGGCCCTCAACGCATCGCACATTGAAAATATCATCGCTGAAAGGGATAGCTGTGCCCACCTAAAAGTACGTCCTGTTAGTCTACCTAACCTTTTGCATTATCGATTTATTGCTCACGCGTAAATCTCATTGGCTGTCTTTCAATCAACTTCTTTATCGACTTGCGTGTATGAGCACTGGAGCAACGCCACCACTAACGGACTATGTATGTACTTGGATTAGTTTACCTAAGCTGTGTTCATCGGTTCTGCAGTCTATAGAAGTCTAGGCGACGGAAGCACGATTGTCTATTGGTTGGTTTTAACTCGTGAATACAAATCTATGATCAGTAATGTGGATCTGGACTAACGCGATCACAATTCCTTCCAATTTTTAAAAAAAATCATCCCTAAATGTATGAAAAACACTCGAATTTGGACTGAATGCCTAAATATCAATGCTTGGTCATTCCTAATTGCAAGCGCGGAACTGTGTAAACGGGTATGGATGTGAGTATGCTGGTTCGATCTGTGGCCGCTTTGTTGATTGGTTGATTTCAAGTACCTTCCACTGGTTTTGTGTCACAAGGCCCATGTTGTAATCGGTCGTGCTGTTTTATTTACACTTCTGTTCGCCCACTTTCTTAAAAAAACATTCCTCTTATCACCTCTACCTTTCCTTTTCCCATCTTTATCGTCATCATTCAAAGCAATTGCTTTGTTGTCGATTTTCAAGCTAAGTTGTTTTTAAATCAAACCAAAAATGGCGTAATTTCAGCCATTTTTTGTCTACGGAAAGAAAATTTGGAATTCAATCTACCTCTGTTGTTTTGTTTGTAAACTGTCATAGTTGGCGTGATGATGAAATTCGAGGCAATCACCACTAAACAAACCATTTACCAGATTTTCCTGTCTGCTTGTCGTGTCTGCGTAAACACGATGGTGTTACAAGTCGGTTTGAAATATGTTTTTCTGCCCCAAATTACGAAATTCGCTGTCAGATGCTTCTTGAGATGGATAAATTTGTCGATCTCATTTCAAATCCGGATCTAAGTTTAATGCCAACTGGTTCGTTGCATTGGCTGGGAGGATTGTAAGAAGGTCTAGACAAAGCCTCGGTGCGACATGGGGCATCGTAGTTGCATGGGCCTCTTCTCCACTCACAATAATCTATCTTTTTCTCAAAGCAACTTACTGCAATAATAACCTGAGTAGCTAAAATAGCTTTAAAAATAGGAGAAATTCTTTTTAAACGCTTCTTAATCACTTTTTTGGGGAAATTTTCCTCTTCTTTTAATTATTTTACGTCATTTGACCTTAATCTGACCTGATTTTATAGTTCGTATAACAAGTAATCAAATCTAGTTTCATGTAGTATACGTTGGTATTAAGAAGTTGAGATAACTCGTTAGCTTAATGCATCATTTTGCTAAGGCGACATTAACTAAAATTAACCAATCAACGAAACATGAATTAGAAGCGTCACAATTGTAGCGATTGGTGCAAAATTGTATACGTTGACAGAAACACCAGATCAAGTTTCTGCTTGATTTAAGCGTGAAGCAGCGCGTTTTTAGCTTCGCATTGCAATTTGCGAGGTGTTATTTAGCGAGATTTGATGGTTACCCAAGACGCGAGAACGCTTTCAGAAAGCCTGCCTTTGTATTGCTGAAATCTTTACGTGATATGCGAGTCTTAGTTGGTGAAGACTCGGCGTTTACCAACTCACCAGCCAAATTGGGGCTGCATGGTTGAGGATCAAGCCTGTGCGTGGCACGCGACATTTCTGTCCAGTCCAGTTCAAGTAACATCCCCAAGTTACAAAGTAAGTGTGGGCTGGAAGACGCTTCAGTTGCCATTCACCAATTCCCGCCATTTGTCTCTGATTGCCTCCTGATAAATTTTATTGTCTGTTGACTTCAGACACCCGATTTGATTGGTTGGTTTTACTCCCATCACACTGGCGGCAGTGCCTCTTTTTAATCAAGTGACGCGAATTTGATGTGGCGCGTGCTGGTTCATCGAAATTAAACCATGATCGTTATCAATCGAGGTGGTTCAGTTACGGTGGACCGATGGCGCATCGCCAGCGATAACTGGCTGTAAAACAACGATTTCACGACGATTCCGATGCATTTTGCAAGGACTGAGTAGTTGTGTTAAGTGAATTTCTGCCGAGTCATTTGGAACCCATAGCATGGAGCTGCTTCACAACTCGTTCGAGACACGCCAAGTAATTTTCACTTGTTGCTGTTGTTGTTTGTGTGTGAAACACTCAACGAGGTCTGCGCAAACTCTTGCACAGTTGCACTAGCACTGACCGATTCACATGTGGCCTCGAATTGGTCACCGTCATCAGCATCAACTTCAGTAGGTCGACCAAAATACCGATTGATTCATTCGCGTTCCGTATTGTTCCGCTATCAACGCGACACACACTCTTTGAGGACCTCAGACGTCTTCCAGGTTTGACGGAAGCCATGAAATACGATTCGTCTGGGTTCTTCGCAGTCTCACTCCATGTTAACACAAACCGTAAATTAACAGCTGTGAACGAAACCCCACGTAGTTGGCTTCTGAAGCAAGCCAAAATCAACATTCATCACTTTTTAAAAGGCTCGAAAAAAACAGCACATTGTCTGAGGTCCCACGAAACATGCAACGTTACCCATCCGTGTAAACCAAAATTACAGCATTGCCAGTCCGCTTCTTTGCCTCGCAATTGCTTCTCACAACAGACAAATTATCGGCAAGCCATTGGATTCGGAAAGATGAGATGCTTCACAAGTTGATTAATGCAGCCGAATGGTTACGGTATTTTCCGAATTGGGGGAAGTCGGTTAAAGTGTGCGCGCACTTGGTTGTTATGAAATAACTGCATTGCATTATGCTGTCAAGGCATGCTGAATCTGGGCATTCGTGTCTCTACTTAAGCGCGGTTAATATGTTTTGCATGTTTTGGCGATTTAAGGTCATAGAGAATGACTAACCTCATTGTCAGGGCAGACACGGAAATTGGTTGATTTGAAAAATGACGGTAAATTTGTGTACTCGAGTCGATCACTGCGCCGAAAACCATTTTTCTGTGATATCAGTGGGTGTGTTAGAAGCGGGCGCCGAGTCGTGTAATTGTGCGTGCTTTGGGCGCGACCTTGACTACAGGGGTGATGGAACCAATCACATAAAGGCGCTTGATATGAAATTGAGGCAAAGCCTTTGCGCATGGTAACGAAAATTGTGGTAAAGAATGCCACTTTGTAGATACTCGCCTTTCAGCTCAAATCTTGCGTGAGTGCCTTCTTGGACCCTGCGGCACGTGCCGTTGTTCGTCCACAGTGGTTTCAAATCGCCATTTCTAGCACAAATCCAAAAGTCAAAAAATGGTCGGATCAGCATGCAAATATCAGGTTGGTGTGAATGTACTGTAATGAGGATACTGCCTGTACACCAAATTGCATCTGATTTTTCACAAAACCTAATTTAAAGTATTTAGAAACGGAGGCTCATTGGTTCATGCACATTTACTTGCTATCTGCAAGTAGTTTAATTACTATTTTAATGTTACCAATGCCAATCATTCACGAACACCTTTACGCAATCACAGTTGTGGCGAATGCGCGGTGCCTTGTCTCAGTGTGGGTCTATTGCCAGCACTCAATTGGCCGTTCCTCTCCATCCAATCTCAAACTGCTAAGAGCCCATTGGTCTCGGCTCTAGGTCGTGCACAATGCTTTGTACTGATTGGTTTCTTCAGGTTTAAGAAATTGTTATTTTCATGCTGATTCGCCGGTAAAGGCATCCATTATTGGGCTCCTATCAACACACAGAACTTGAATGCAAAAAGCGATATTTAAATATGTATAGTCGAACGCTGTTTTATCGAATTCACAAGCCGTGTTAGTGAAATTGGAAGTGAGTTTAATGTTGGCATGGTTATCACGTGGGTTGCCATGACAACCAGGAAACCAAAATCCAATTTGGCACCTAATATTAAACCGTCTCACTCGTTGTGATCTGTCTGTTTTAATCATAATGTGCTTCTTTAAGTCTTTTGGGAACGTTGGCTGAGCCCGTGATAAAAATTCCAAGGATTTTCACCACTTGGCACTTTAATCCGTCTGTTTGACATCGTCGTGGTTAGTATTTCGCGACCAGCTTAGAACAAAACCATTAAAGCTATCCAACCGAAAGGACGTTGTGGGAAACATGTGTTGCGAATCGTGTTTATTCACATCCCTTAATCCGGTCGATCCACCTCCTACACTGAGTTCCCCTTTTCGCAGCATGTCGCCAGCCGCGCGGATCCTCAACTCCCCCCTCATTCAAACGGATATTTATCTTGGATTATCCTCAGACCTGGATCTCGATATTAGCGCATGTATGACTCACACATCCGAGGTATAAATACACACGCGCAAACCTTACACATGACACAACGACACCAACGTGGTTGAGCTCGTAAGTAAACGGTTGTGTTCATCGCGGGTATCAGGCAAGCGTAATCGGGCCAGGGTTAATTCCGTGGCCCCGGTGTGGTTCAAGACCACATGCTGGGGCCCACAACACATGCATGGCATCAGCGTCATGGAATGGCACCTCCTAGTTCCTCATTTTGTAGCATAGAAATGTGCGTCTAATTATTTGACAGGAGCGTAAATACGATTTCCTCAATAACACAGCGTTATGCCTGAATTGCTGGACTTTTGGCATTGTGGTGTGCGATTCCTGCCTGCAGTTGTAGCTTAAAAACAAATTACGCGCAATTGTGGGGCAGTGTATGCTTTAGCGTCAGTTTTAATAAGGAAAACACAACAAGCATTTTAGATACCATCCTGTTTATTTCCCAGATTGACATGAAAGCTGTGAACCCCCGCAAAGCGATTTGTGGGGTTAGTGGTATTGAAGTTGATGCAGGTGACAATAACCAAATCAAAGCCACATCAAAACGGGCTTGTGCTTGTGCAGGGAGGTTGTTGAATGTTACACGCCAACACAACAACTGAAGATCAGCTGAAGTGTCTTGGACCCGCTATTAAGGTCGTTACTCGAGTTCCACATGAATTTCAAGGAGAAAGCGTCTCTTTACGGTCAGTTGTCGCCAG